GGTCAACCTGAACCATGCCCACTTCCTCCGCCTCAACGGCATTTTGAACATCGGCATCCGGACGAGCTTCGGGGTCCCCGTGTTTAGCCGCTGGGGGGTCACCTTCGTCATCGTCTTCTACAGCCGTGTCGCCGTTCAGGTACATGTTTGTGTTGTGGGTTTGTTGCCTCCATGCCATCTATCTGTCCGACTGACCAATGCATTTCGTCAGTCTCAATGCGGTCGAAAACACAAATGCTTCTAAATGTGTGTGTTTGTCTATGTTGACAGGCGCCGACCATCCTATCCGACAAGTGAATCTCAGCAGTGCAGCTAAGAAAAAGGGGCGTCACTCGAATTTTTCCTGAACCTCCCCCTACTGTGTGTCAGCTTTCGGGGCCCCCCGCACCAGCTTCCGTCCTGCACGTGCAAGATGCTTATATACCAGCAACCTACGGTCTGGGTATTTCGCCACCTCACGACAAATCGTTCGATATCGCGCCCCGCCCTCCTGGTCAATGGTCTAACGACTATGGTATGCAAAACTTGAGTACCCCTCCCCCCCCCCCTCCTCCTGTCTGCGTGTACTCCTGCCTGCGAACTAACTCCACGGATCACAATGATGGTGCGGTGCCACGACAGATGGACGCGGACATGAAGGCCTTCATCGAGCGGACGGTCAGCGCCTGGAAGTTTGATGCCACGGTCGACACGGACGTCTGTCAGGGGGATGCGGCTCCCGCAACTGCCAAGCCCCCGGGCCCCGCGGGCATCCGACCCTAATAAATTAATTATTCGGGGGCTCCGTGGGTACCTGACCTTGACTGGGGGGTCAGAAGGGCATCACCCCATAACTGCGGAGCCCCCGTAATCCATTTATTCCGGCCGCCCGCCCCTGGGCATCCGACCGTAGTTAGTCGGGGGGGGGGGACGACGGGGGGTATCCGACTCTGATGGGTGGGGGGCATCCGATGGCAGTGGACCCCCTTACAGAAGCAAGGAAGATTGTGAAGTGTGAGGGAAGGACACGATCTTGTCGGTCTTGCCTTATACTGCACCGCTTGGGGTGGCCCTAAACCGTGAGCTTGTGTAGGTGTTGCATGGCCAGGAAGCGCACTCGATGATGAAATAGGTATCCCGAAGCGTCATCGTGGTGGTGATGACATGAAGAAAAGTGACGGTTCGTGGAGACGATCTGTACGATAACTGCCGTGGGTATGGTCCATTGTGGCCTACTAGGTAACCGAATTAAAGGGGTGTCGTGTGTGTCCCCCCTACAGCGGGATGGTAGAGAGTGAGTGGTGCCTCAAAAGTCCGTGTGTATTGACGGACGGAGACTTGGTATGTAGTCGTCGCCCATGCCGCCCGCGCCCCGTGTTTTGCTGCAAGGGATACTCTTGTGGTCAACGCAGCAGCGGCCGGGGTGGGCGTGTGAGTTTCCGATTTTGGGAATCCATGTGTGCTGTTGAATGCGACGCGCACTCTTGTGTGTGTGCGTGTCCGCCCCGTGCCGAGCGAGAAAAAGTGAATGAATGCCAGGTGGGTGACCTGTAACGCACGGTATGGTTATGTACAGCAGTTGCATCCGTAGACAACTTAACAGAAACGGCGATTGTTTGTATATTTGCCGATTTTCGATGGCCGCACGGTTCGGTTCAGTGTGGGACTGAACGATGTTGGTATACCCTAGGTAGGCCTACGGTTAAAAGCGGGGCCGTATATTGCGAGGTAGAAAAGGACACCGCCATTTGATACCACGTGCCCCCGGACCACCCGGCGCCACGTAAAAAGTAGACATAAGTGACCCAAACAGGAGGGGGGGGGGGGGGGATACAAGCGCCCTTGCCCTCCTGACTTGTTCTTTGTGTGTAACTGTGTTCTTTGCATACGTCGGATATATTATTATGCCCAGTAGAAAGTGCGTGCACCCCCTGTTCGCCCAACTCCCTCCCCCCCTTTCCCTGCAAGGTCCTATGCCATCGGACGTGGGGCGAGTTACATAGGATAGGTCTCGATTTTGTGTATGTGGTTATCCCGTTATGTTCTGCGTGTCGTTCCTCTTTTTGGTGGTTGATGGTATGGATTTGGTGGTGAACTGGCTGTGGGTTTGTGTTTCGCAGACGCATTAAAATAGGCCAACAGCTTCTTGATTTTTGTCCTTCTTGCGGATTGTAGTTTTTTTTCCTTGCGTGGAGGGGTGTGCAACTGCACGCGAAACAATGGTGTCCAAAGGGGAGAGAGAGGAGGGGTGGTGGACACGACAGATACCCTCACTAGGGTGCAGGTTAACCTGGTAGTGGAGTTTGTTGAACGGTGGATCTATTGCTCAGGGGAGACTGGCAGCGCGAATACTTTTGCCGGGGGCACGCGGAACTTTGGTAGGGGGAGGGGGAGTAGGCGAATTTCGTGTGGGAGGCAGACCCCCACATCTCACTCCGTATTTTTCAGCACGTCCGCCTTTTTTCTAAAAGTCTTGTACGGGAGGCATAAAATCGCTTCCCTTTTGTCTTCGTCGAACTCGGACTAATACAGGGAGAAGCGTATTTTTTTTCGCTTTATTTTTCCGACAGGTCGCGGCCGGACATGCTGCTCTGCACGCTGTACAAGTTCGATACGGTGTCTATCTATTATAGTTGAATTTTTGTGCTTGTCCTTTTTTTGTCGGTATGTTGTTCGGAAGGTTGGATACTTAGCGTTGGGCGCGAGCAGTGTGCTGCGACGGCAGCAGCCTGGATCCTCTGGCCCATGGTCATCGTCGTCGTCGCTATCTCTCCGAAATGAGTGGTACTAAATAAGGTACATAGCAGCCGCAGGAGTGTATCGAGAGTGAGTGTACTCTTTTTACGCGTGACTTTTTTTTTTGTTCGAAACGTCTGTGGATTCACAGCTCGGTGTGTTCTATGGTGCAGGTAGACAGGCATCCAGGAGACGTGTAATGTGTTACGCATTGCCTTGCGGGCCTATCCTTCCTTCGAATGCGCCCCGTCGCTTGTGTACCTCATTGAAATTTAAGTCGGGCGTGTGGTCCTCGCCTGGGCTTGGTATTTTTTTGTCGACTGCCGGATGCACATATTTAGTTCGATTGACTGTCTGTGGAGACACGCAGCAGCTGGGGGTGGGTGCTTGAATTCATCCGGGCTTGGTCTTAAACCGTTGATGCGGAGGTTCGATAGTTTTTCTAGGATCTCGGTTTCGTTTACGCGTGTCTCTTTCCTGCTTCCGTCTTCTCTCGCTAGAAGCGTCATTTTTGTGCCAAATGTTTTTCGCGCATGCATGCATGCGGGAAGAGGCGTTTTTCTTTTGTTGTTCTCCTCTTGCTTTTGCCGCGATTCGAAACTAGCTTACAGGTTGTCGGTAGGAGAAGGGAGCTAGGGTGTGCGTGTGCGCCGGGACGGTCTCGCACTTTTTTTGGGCCTTATTATCGCGTTCTTTGGTTGAATACACCACCAGGATGAGAGAGCCCCATTGAGCCGAAAGTGTATTCGGGTTTTTGATTGTTTCGGGTACGGGGGGGGGTTGGGGGGGGGGACTCATGTTATTCAACGGAAAGGGTGCATTGGAATTGGATAGGGATTTATTTGTGACTGCTTCTTTGGACAGAGAGAGAAGCTTACAGCGGGGTGTACATTGTTTCATGATCTCCGTTGGGCAAAACCATCATCAGCTGAGATGTACCGTAGTTCAGGGACGGCACTCGGTCGCTTTGCTCTCTTGATACCCCCCTCTCCTCTTGCCTTCCCCTGCGTCTCCCCTTTTTTCATCGTCGCTTTAGGGTACCAGGGTACGCCACCATTTCATTGTGGATGACAGTTCGGTGTGTGACGCTAGTAATTGGAATGGGGGGCGGGTAGATTTATCGTACAGCCGTCTTTTGACCCCTGCACAATCAGCGAACTGCGTGCCACGAACGTTTTTTTTGCTAGATTGTTTAATCTAGGTGGTACTGGTTTCAGCTTTGCATTTGTAGAATCGGGCGTTTATGCACACATGTAGGAGTGACCACTGCAAAGCTACGCCGTCATGGCTGTTTCGTGTTGTCTGGAGAGCAAAAGGGGTGGTTTGGACTACTCGAGAAGGCACGCAAGGAGACTCTGTTTGTCGCTGCTGTTTGGCTTGCCATGACTTTGTTTGGATTTTCCGTACTCATCAGATATGTAGACGCGAGCAGAATGTTTAGGCCCTAAAAGCGACGCAAAGATTGGCGTGAACGTCAGCAGATAAGATAAATTAATGCTTCCTTCGATTGGTGCATACGCATACAATTCGTTGCGTGTGTCTGGGCGGCCGCGGTGTTGCTACTCCGGTAACCGCAGCACATGGGTGCACGCCTCCTTACTTGCATGAATTGGGTCGTTGCGTGTTTTTTTTTTTTTCTACTGGCGGCAGAGCGTGGCGCACGCGCAGCCGCCGCGTGCCACCTTTTCCTCAGATAGATGCTCCGCCACTACAGTAGTACAGCAGTACCAGCCTGGATACCTCTCGTTGGATGGTGAGGATACACCCGCCCGCGCGACTTTGCACAAGCAACAGATGTGTAACAGCTGAGAGTGAGGGTGCTGTGCGCCCGGCGGCCTCTCACGTTCTTCATTGTTTTCGTCGCATTTTTGTTATTGTAATTGGAACATTTTCGTTGTTTTTCCTGAACATACGGGAAACGTATGATGTGCGGGCTACGTAGTGTGGCCTGGGGGGGGGGGGGGGGAGGGGTTCTATAATTTTTTGTTGTTGTCATCCCGGCCACTGGGCTGAACGCTGGATGGGGTGGGTAGTAAGTATGGGGGTTTGTCGTCATCGGCGTGGTGACGGTGCACAGTAGGTAGTAAGCGGATGGTGACGGACGTTGTTCGCTGCCTGTATTGGATACGACTTGCTCTTGTCGTAGAGGTTCTACTGGTAAAAGTTTAGGTTGTTGGGAAACTCAGCAGTCAGGAAAGAAGAGACCGAGAGAGAACGAGTCAATCAGTCATGGATGGATGCATTGAAATCAGGAAAGAAGCTTGGCACCTCCGTACGTACTACGTACATTTACCCCCGTGTGCTTGGCGGTTGGGAGAGATCTGTGCGGTCCAGCAGAACTGGCCGGCGGCAACAACGTGACTACGGCCAACTATGGTTGCCAACTCCACCATACATAATAGAACAACTGCCAGGAGGTGAACAACAGATGATAGCGAGCGGCGTTGTTATCGGTAGGCCGCTTGTACAACCCAAACATGCAGCAAACAGAGTGTTTAGTCCGTCAAGAATTGAATTTCATTGGTCAAACAACAAAAAAAGTGAGTCAGACCGTCTGCGTTTGTTTTTCGACAGAGAGAGTCCTTCTTTCTTCTTTTCTTTTGTTCGGATGGCGTCCTTGTCGCGCCTCGTGTGTACGAATTACGTGTCCTTCCTTGCTGTTGTTGGAGAAGGCAACCAACCGTTCGTTGCTACTTTCGCTCCTCACGTACTCCCTTATACCAACTGTGTACGTACCTCGTCGTGCTTGCAGGTACAAAAAAATTCCTTGTCAGTATCGTAACAACGCCGTCCGTTTATTTTCTTGACCTTGGCACACCCCTATCCGAGAGAGGGGTATTTTTTGCTTGGTCTCGACCCCCGTTCCCTAGGCAAAGCGTATAAGGTACCTGTCGCCGCATGGATGGATGGATGCATCGGGGTTCGAGGTTCGTTTTTTGTGTTGGTGACGTGATGAGCGTGCCACAAATATACCTACTACCTCCAACGTTGTTAGGAAAGAATGTTGAGCAGCAGCAGCAGCGAGTACTGACTGTGATCGACTGTGTGTGGGAGAAGATGACGCCGATTAGTAGTGCCTGCCTTTTGTTCAAACAAGATGAGATGGGATGAAAATCGACTGTTTTGTGACTTGAGCTCATTGAACACCCACCAGCTCGTGGTGCCTCAAACGAACACCGAAAGGCCGAAGTAAAACTGACGCCTATAGAAATCATTAGACAGAGGACAACAACACACATACATACATCCTACCTATCGATCGAGAGAGAGAACCACACGCCACAACAAATTCAAACAACAATCAATCATGAAAGGACAAGAAAAGCTAGAAGATTTCTCCCTATCTATCTATCCATACCTACCGACTCGCCACGACCCTACACTATGAACAAGGAGACTCATATTTATTTTCGCGGCCGGGGAAGCAGGGCGGAGGGAGGGGGGGTTGGACGAACGAGAGGTCGACCGTCGGTGGAGATAGCCATCACCCGCGGCCGACCAAAATAATACTCCCAATTGCATATAATATCTACTACCAGTATCTATGTATACTAATCACGGTGAACGAGGAATGAATATTTCATGCGGTATTTGCAGGCTTAGATACACAGAGTGTACCGACTCATCCATCCATCCATCATCATCATCCATGTAAAGATGATGTAAATTACTCTAGGTAGGTTCCATTTCTCGTGCCATCTACTTTTTTTTGTTCAGACTACAACAAACAGCAGTAGTAGTATTAGTCTATAGCGTACAATAATAATAGTTCTTAACGACTACAACAACAAACAGCAGTAATAATGTACCAGGTAGTTCTTAACGTCAAATTTCATTCATTGAGGACTTTAGGCACGAGAGTCAATCAATCGTTCGCCCCGGAAGCAGCTGGAGCAAGCATGCATGCATGCATGCATTGCATGTGGGTGAGAGCGGCGAGATGATGTGAACCAGGAAGTACTACAACTGTTAAAACACTCTGTCTGCAGCCAGCTGCTGTAGATCCATGTAGTAGTAAGTGCGTGTATCTCGACGACAAAAAACAGACAACGGAAGAAGAACAACAACGACGACACAACGTACGCGACCACCACCAACACCACCAACAACAACAACAACAACAACATGCTTGCGACGATCTGCGCGCGTCCTGCTCATCATCATCTGATTATTCATACCGCTGTTGTGCTGTTGTTGGCTGTGGTCATATCTCGAATGGGTAGTCTTTCTGTGTTTGTATTAATGTTTCCTAATTAATTAAGGTTAATTAATGTGAAGACAACAACAATCAATGTCATGTGGACATGTGACCTTCAGAGACCACACCATCCTGTGGGGACCCTCGGAAAGTGGTGTGCGGTGTTCGGCCAAGTGCGGCACAACTTTTTTTCTGAACGGTCTTTTGGGGCCCGCCCCTGGCCAACAAAAAAATTATATTTGTTGTTGTTCCTTCTCTGCTGTTGTTGCTGCTGCTCCTCCTCCTGCCCCTGTCTACCACTCTGTTCTCCTCCTCTTCTTCCTCGTCCTCCTCGTCCTCCATCCTCATCTCTTTCCCTCCACAACCAGAGTAACGCAAGCTCGGTGCACCAGGTGGAGATTGGTCACCACTACTACAGGACAGCAGTACAAACCAGCAGTTAGTTTCATCCAATCAACACCATAATGTCGTCGTCTGTTGCGAGCTTGGTTGCCCTGGCTGGAATCCTGGGCCACACCACCATCACCAGCACGGAGGCGCTGCAGGTGCTCACTCCGGCGGTGGCTGAGACGGTCGTGTCTGGGAGGTGAGCGACGATCGGTACTGTAGAACACTGCAGTTTGTAGTCTACAGCATGGGTCCTCGGATACCGTCATCAGGCAGTATTATCTAGTCTACATTCGTGACGGCGCTCAAAGACCGCCCTTTTTGTGTCCTAGTCTGTGATGGCACTGCCCTCTACGCGTAGTTCTCTAGCCCACGCCCGACCAAATACGAGGCACGTATACGGGGCTTGACAAGTTCGCACGAACGCTGCTGATCCAATGTACATTGCCGCTGTTTCTCTCCCACTGCTGCTGTATTATGTAGTCTATCCCTCCCTCATGCCGCCGAACATGCGTCCCGCTCTATTCGTCCTCGCGGCCCGCGTCTACACTTGTATGTTTGCATCAGGCCGTACATCGTGTCGTGGAACGGCGCATCGGCGGATGACCGCTTCGAGATCGACCTCCACTACTGCGGCTCGTATTCCTACTGTTTCGAGGAGGTGAGATAATGCGTACAACAGGAAACTAACCAGTAGTGTACAGCAGCATGGGAGTTCGATTGCATTTACGTGTACGGTTCCCCGTGTACCGCTGTATCATATGCGTAGCATTTGGGTTAAGATGTACAGCATATCCACTATGCTACAAGTCGGTACATATCCACTATGCTACAAGTCGCCGACTTGTAGCATAGTGGATATGCTGTACATCTTAACATGTACCAATGGGCGCCCGCCCGCCCGCCCTCTCGAGTTACAGGGGATAGCAACACATGGATGGCACGGCGCCGGTTTGGATTAAATTAACTGCTGTGTGGGGTGAAGACTCGAGAAAGAAAGAAATGATGCCTGGCGTTGCAACGAAACAAACAACGGAACAAACACAGACTTACATTTCAAGTACCACTTCGATTTCTCCCAGACATACATCCAGGGTCCGCGACTGCTGTAGTCTATACTACGAGAGCTCCCAAGAACCTTGAGCGTACCACCACCTAATTTACATTTGTAATATTGACGGCATTTCGTAACATTTCGTAACATCTTACCATGGAAGTACATCACATGATGGTTTGTATCACGACCCCTTCTTTTATTACCACGGAGTTCGTACCCCCCCCGGCAGAAAAATGCTGTGGGTGCTGATGAAAAAATATGATGCTCCAACCTGATGCACTTTTCTCACATCCCGTCACCTCCAACGTACAGGCGGAGTGCGGGTTCTGGCTGGCAAACGTTTGCGCCGAGGGGGACGGCAGCGGCTGCATGAGCCAAGCCGACCAGAGCTCCCAGGTGACCTTCCCGGAGCCGCTCGGTGGTCGCTCGAACGAGGGCTACAGGATCAGGATCGCCGAGGTCGGGTCGGATACGTACCGGTGTTCGGACGACTTCTACCTCATGTCTTCTGCGGATGCGCCGGCAGTCGGGGAGGACGGGGGGCCGACGATAGAGGTGGTTGCGCCGACGGCGGATGCTCTGGCTATCGCGGGGGAGATCTACACGGTGGAGGTGAGGGGGGGAAGAGGGCGCAACGGTTGTTGCGTCATGCATTGTGCGTGTCCTTCGTATCAAGTATTGTAAGTGTAGGCTGTGCATGTACGTACGTCTAGCGAGTGTCCCACGTGATGATGCCCCTCCTCTTTATCTTAGGTGTCCTGAAACAAGCAAAGGAAAAGGTTCCCCTCGCCCAACGACACTACCTCACGATATCTGGAAAAAAAAAAACGCGCCCTCAACTGTCACATTGTAATTTGACTTCGGAAGTTCCCCCTCCACGACAACGACTCACGATACACGAAGCATAACCAAATCGTGCGTCCCCTCCTCAATTGCCACAGTTCGACTACGACAACGGCTTCGGCGAACAGCTCGGGCGGTTCAAGATCGACCTCTACAAGGCGTTGGGGGAGGACGGGGCTGGAGACTGCGGCACCTGGGTCACCTCCGTCTGCGACAAGCCGGACGTGGGCTGTCTCGATAGCCGTGAGTCCTTCCTTTTTTTTTTTTTTTCGTGTGGTGTGGTGTGGTGTGGTGTGGTGTGGTGTGGTGTGGTGTGGTGTGGTGTGGTGTGGCAGGAACCCCATGCATGACACGCGGGGGGGGGCGTCACGTCAAACCACCTACTTTGCCGAGTCCTACTGTTCTTAGTGAAGTGGCAGGCACCTCATGGCACACCGGCTGTCAATTTTATAACCACCTGGCAATGCCCCTTGCCCCTATTTATTCTCTGCCCCTCTCACCTTCACCCCCCCCCCCGGTTTTTTTCAATGACCCCGCTGAACCCCCCCCCCCCCCCCCCCTGGGCCCCTTGTAAAACTCTGGGGGGGGTTTTTTCGCCCCAAA